CTACGTCGAATATGCCGGCGGTAACGGTTCAAGCTTTGAGGAGGCAGGGAGAGGAAGGGTGAGGACGGCGGAGGTATATTGAAAGAACCTTCTAGGCATGAATCTCCATATGGAGCTTTTACCGGAAGAAACTGATTGAATTATTCACTTATTTAATTTCTCTAAAATTATGAGGTTTACATGATTTTTTATTTTCTAAATTTTTTTTCGACAGTTCTATTCTATTCTATACTACAGCGAATACATGTCGCCAGTATTTGTGGAACTAGTTCCATCCAGTATTGTGTGTATTCAGTTTATTGACATAAATTCGATGAAAAACGCGAAATCGGTATATAATCTGAAAGTAAATATAATATAAATTTACAAAATAATAAAAATACTAAATGAACGCAAACGGTAACTGCCAGGCTACTGCGCATGCGCGACAGCTAACACTGCAGCGCATGCGCAGTGGTCTAACTAGTCTCCGCTCTATACAGTGGTGTGGCCGGGAAGTACATAGAATGTACGTGTGGTGCAGTGCACACGACCCGAATTCGGTTAATTTTGGATAAATATTGGAGGTAAGGAACAGATAAAACGATGGGGCGTCCGTGTGCCAGCGGCTGACAGGTCTTCGAATTTCGATAGGGTTATTGAATATAAATTATTACGAATTGATGATATTATTTAAGTAAATTATAATCCTCCTTAACCTCGCTATACGTGAGGCTCAAAAAGTTTCATCTGAGATGGGTCCATGAATAACTGAATGTTAAATGCCTAAATATCAGCATCAAGTGCGTCCTTCTTATAATAACGTGCAAAACTGGCTGTTTAGTTATTTTTCCTAATTAATTACCCACTATCATTAACAAAATAGCGCTCGATGATAAGTAGTTTCTGTTATAGGTCATGGCAACAAACCTTGAAGAAATTTTGTTGGAGAAGTTCCGTCTTTAGATTAATGCGATTAATGCAGAACTTATAGAAACACGAAAGATAACGCCTCTCGAACTGGAAAGAAATTGAGAAGCCGTGTAGAGTCATCAAGATCACATCTGTGACTTACTGAGCCTGATCAGTGGAGGAAAATTTCGCTCTGCTTGATCACGCTTCACAGATCATAGGAACGTTAATCTCAAACACTCGTTCTGGCCGACGGGTGACTGGAATTGCATGAAAACCTTAGAATGAACAGAAATAATTTGGTAATCCGCAGCACCATGAATTTATATCATTTTTTGGGAAAATTGCCATGGCGGGAATACTATTTTTATTCCTTCCGATTTCCAGCTCATATGCACGACTCGAGATGCCAAACTTGCATCTGAAGTTTAAGAGGAACAGGGAGGATATTTTTGATCAGAAAGGTACTCTAATCCCTTAACCAACTTTTTCAGCTACCCACTGTTGAAGTATAAAATATTTACTGTAAATAGAGAATGAGGCGCATCATCTCGTATCCTCAACAAGGCAGGGCAATTATTTCGCCAATGCCAGCAGCGCTTTGCTTCCCGCGGCAGCTTGCAAAAAATGTCCGCGTTTGTTCAGTGGCGTTAACGGGCCTCACACGTCGTTAGTTACCCATTAGCTCTTTAGTGAACAGCACCAGAACCTAATTGTTTTATAGAAACATTCAATTATCAAAGTTGGCGTGCTCTACAATTTGGTGAAATTGAACAATTACGTTGAGCCAATAACAAGCGAATCTTGATTCTGGCATCCTCTTACCCTACTTAGGAGAGAATCCGGTCAAGGCGACTGTGTGGATGTATTTATACTCTCAATTTATAGAATTTCATACGTAACTGTTTGTTTTATGCAGCTAATACGGGCTTTCCGTCCCGGCAGATGTTGCTGAGCTTCTGTCCCACCTCATGTTGCTGGACTTTCTGTCCCGACCGGTATTGATGGCCTTTCTTTTTCGACTTGTAGTTGCTAGGCTTTTTATTCCGACTGAATCAAGGTGCTGGACTTTCCGCCCCGCTTTGCTGGGCTTGCCGTCCAGACTGGTGTTGCTGGACTTTCGTAAAGGCGAAGGAATATAGCGGGAATTCCAATCGACCTCTCAGAGTAATATTTTTTTCTCAGAAGGTATTCATCTCACTTCACGTAAACGATGTGAGCAAATAAGCAACGATTATTGTAAGTAGTTATATAGAAACGGACTGAAACGTAATTTCAACGTAATTGTATTTTTAAATTTCGTGCTGGAAGTTTTGAACTTTTTAAAATTACTTCGTTGCAAGCTAGGCAATAAATTACTCTAGTATAATTTTGCAGAAGAATAATTTCGTAAAAGTTTTTTTCAGCTGTATTTATCGCGCAAATATTTTCATATCGTCATTCTCCTAATAATCCTTAAACTGTCTACTTAATGTCAAACTAACGGCGATAATTTTGGTCGGAACCATACTGAAGCCATAATTTTATTTACGCTCGAAATGCCACGCATGTGACAGTCCTAATTTTTAGCCCAAATGCCCAAGCTTTTGGTAAATCAACCCTCACGATCATTTCTAACTCTGTTCGCTGTGTTGACCGCGGTGCAAGCAGTAGTTACTTCCATCATAACAAATGTCAGTAATTACGCGAGGTTAGAAGCAGGCTACCACGTGGGAGGCCTTCTTCACGCGCGGAACAAGCTTCCTAGGAGCATATCAGAGGGAGGATAATCACAGGGAGAGATCCTATATGGCGCTGCAAGCGGCGGGCAAAAACGAAAGTTTCTATCTTGAAATAAGTGCTTTATTTTTTTTTTGTAATTTAGATCACCTTTGCTTCCTGAATGCCCAAGCAATGGGTACTTTTGTCTTAAAATTAGAATTGTTTCTGTTAGATGAACTGAACACACGCTATCGATTAGCCGATTTATAAACATTTAAATTTTAAAACCACCATAATCTTATTTGAGTTTTCCACTACCTGCCTGCTAAATTATTCGGGCCATTAGACTTCGAGTCAGCATCAAGTGCGCCGATGTGCACTTGCCAGTCGTGCTCCGCATGGTAGTGGTGGTCCGTGAGGACATTTATCAATAAATTAATTTATACCGGGTTTTCTTATGTGACCACATTTAGTTGGGTGGATCGCATGATTTCAATCTTTTATCTTTGTAATACCACGACTCTTATGCACCATGCTAGCCTCATGTGGTCATTATATTAGTTTATTTTACCATCATTTGTGTTTAATTCATTGATTCTGTGAAGACGCTGACAATGTTTGTTATACTGGATGCCTTGCATCTAAAATGATGTAGTTTAGGTACATACGTCTCTGTCCCTGATTCTTCTCACGATTATCAGCATACTGTTTGCATCTCTCAAATCTTCGGTACGATGTTTTTGCTCCTTCGTGGACGTAATGTTTGCTTTTCTGCTTTTGCTTAACTACAAAAGGTTTCTCATTTCAGGTCATTTTTACTTCTATTGGATGCAAAACATGAAAATAAATAGTGTCCACATAAGAATTAAGTACGCAAGGATGATGAAAAATTAAATACAGTAACTTCTTGTTGCATTTGATTCACAACATGTCTTTCCCATTTCTTTGAGGAACATTCTGTTCTCATTTACATGCAGCTAGGTCTTGAACCCTCGTTATTTATATTTTGACCAATTTCCTCTCAGAGCTCTTCTCACACTTCTATTCTATCCGTTATTGCATCAAATAGATACTGAATAGGTTGGTGAAACAACGTCGCAAAGCTTGAGTTATTTTCATGCCTGTAATTATACTACATTTTTCCTTCAGGTTTCTCCTATATTGATGATATTCGTGATACAAATCATGCTTACAAACATACAGAGTAGCAGCTATAGCTGCTGTGTTTGGCCTATTTGAAATCAAATATTTCAAAAACATCGTAGGGGCAATCATGAACAACAACCACCAATAAATTGATATCTTTTTAATGCTGAAATTCCATTTGAGCATCATGCGGTCATGCACATTTGCACTATTAAGAAAGTCCTCTGCGGTAATTTTACTCACTTCAAGTCGACATGCAGATGCGCAGCACCATCATTCAAAGCAGCATCTGCCTCGTGTCAAGTGCAAGCCCTTCAACCTGCGTGCCTGATGGCCGGTATTCATTTTCTAATACATCGAGCGCTGCAATCATCTTCAGCGTCTTATATATTTAGGGCGTCTAGCTCTATGTGGGGACCACTAAAAATCGTTTAGTTATAAATTTAAAATGTGTGCATAAGCGGTAGCAAGACGTCATCTAATGGCTTCAAATTGTGAGGGATTATATGGTTTTTAACAGTTGCTCTCAAAAATACACCCAATTCGTTTACGTTCGTATATCGTCATATGACTGAATTGCGGAAATTCATATGTTTTCCCCGAGAATTCTTTGTAGGAAATTTGCCCCCAATCAAAATTCATGTTTGGAGAATGATGGTACTGTATTTTACCAGAGTGATTTGGGACCAAAATTTATTTAAACAAGTATTTCCATCAGAATTAGAACCAACTTTTTCCTCTCCTACAAAATTCTCATTTATTTGATGATTTATGCAATTTAAACGACAAAAGTTTGCGCCGTGAATGTAATCCAGGAAGCAATCACTCACCCTAGAATGGTCGTAGCGATATAGCTTCATATGTTTGTCTCGCTTACGTGATTCGTCACGAAAGATTGCAAGGAACAATTAGTTGCAAGACTTTTGACAAATTTTGATAACTGAGATTTTATTCAACAATTAACCTGACACTAACAAACAAAGAAATAAAGAGAAATATTTATTCTATTTAATACTAACCATGTAATTGAATGAAAATATTTTAAATTTTAACATCGTGGACCATTTCTTCTAGGATGTTTTGCTATAATAATCTGACACATTCACTGTCATCAGAGAGTATTTCAAAATAAATGATATTCCAACACGTGGAGAAAATCAGTGGAAAAATATGTATACAGAGAAATGATCATCGTCTAAGTATATAAGAAAGACCATTTTTTTATCCATATCGGGAAATGAACACAATATTAATTTGCGCATATATTTTCACTTCAGGAATTACAACGTTTGGTTCGATTGGTCCTCTTAAGCAGTAAAATAAATGGTTTTACTTCGACTCCCAAGCATAAGATAATAAATGATAGCAGAAAAATTTTCCGATTAATTAAAAAACTGGACCTTTTCATAACATAAAAATTAAAATTTTTGTTCTTACAGTTTCTTCCAAAGTTATCACCATCATGGAACCTTGTACTGGCAGCAGCTTTGAATGCAGCACAAAATAAATTATGGAAAACCCAAAAAAATCTTTTCTTCATGATCCGCAGGAAGTGTCTGCCTCACGATGGTGATGGTAAAATCTTACCGGCGTGTGACGAGTGTGATGCAATAAATCATGCGATTATAAAATTCATATCTCTATCTTTACATTGCGATAGCTTGCGAGTTACGATGCCAATCACAGATGCCCGTTTGAAACAACGGACTGTTCCCCATTTTGTATTCACTGATGACATTATTTTCGGCAAAAGTTACATGTGTGCATGATGCCACACATGTAACTGTGTGATGCCACACATGTAACTTTAGCTGTTTCTTTCGAACCAGCTAAAGATAAGGTAATGCCACGGCATCGACCAGAACTTAGTTCAAGATTATTCCTTGTTGACATTGGTTATCGTTAATCGTCCTGCTAATCGCATATTCTTATTAATTAATATAATACCACAGTACAGTCTTTTATCTGGTCACGGAAATGTGAGTCTTACCATACACAATACAAACTCTGGTGCTCGATCATTGATCATTTTGATGAAAATATGCCTCGCATTCAGCTACTGAGATTATAAACCGGCATGAGACATGAATTTATCCAAAAAGCCAAGCTATTCGTCGATCTTATACATTGATTTACAATTCTCTCAGGCTGTCTCGAGCAACCGTGCAATTTCCATACTTCAAAACTCCCATACTTTTGTTGATAGAAAGTTCGAATAGTCATTACGGATGAAACAAGTCAATCTCCGTTTCTCCGACATCGAAGGCCATATCCACAGCGCAGCATTTCTGTATTTTCACGAAGCTCTGAAAGAAGAAAAAAGTCAAAAGTTAAAGCCATGCAAATGATCTCATATGACATATTGAAATCATTTAAAAAAACGAGAAACAAATAGAAACATAATTTACATTTTAATAGATGCAAGTCATGGTTTCATTGCAATTAAAATGATACTTTAGGCATGACGTGATTCAACACCTCTGAAATCTTATTATAATTATCACATCCCTTAGCTTGAATAGTGATGAACAAAAATTTTCAAGGCGTCTTTTACATTGAAAACGAAGAATTTAGTTAATAGGCATTATCAAAGGGACACGTTCATCAGATATATTGATGTGAACAAAATTTTATTATTACTGCCTGCGCATTCTGGAACTTTAACTATATTGGGAGTTTCTTTGATAATCATCGCTACTTGCAAATGAAGACAGATCTTTAAAGCATGATTCCTTTCATGAAGCATTGGCGGGGTTGTGAAACAAAATGATTCCTCGAGTTAAGCGAAGATAAGAGTGAACCGGAAGCATTGTAAAAATTATTTTGTGCCTGAATTTTTATTGGTTTAACACTAATTACTAGAATCAATATTTTGATCACTAGCTATTGTACATGTATTTCTACTCCAAAAATCGAAGAAATGACGTTTACTATGTTTTCATTTCATTATGTAGGGAGATCTATCACAAATCGGAAGTAAAAAATCGCACGGAAATAGCTGTCATACTTTATCAGTGAGGCCGTTTTGAACTTTGATGAAATTAATATTTCATGACCATTGTTTATAAAGATTTCTTTAATCAAATCTGTATATATAGATCACCATTCGCATAAATATAATTGTTATTGCCCCCATTTGTAGCTAGAGAAAAGTTGCGTCTTATGCAGCCCACTTTATTCATGTGGAGGCTTTCGTTTTTGCATTAGGCCGTTTTGAACTTCTATGAAATGACCATTCTATAACAATTTTAACATATATTTATCTGAATATTTGCATTCAGAGGTCATTATTCGCTTTAAATACAATGTGTTTAAGCTCATTTTAAAGCTGCAGACTAGGAGCTTTCAAGAAAGAAAATACCAAGGATGCAAATGCAAGAATTTGTGCGTAAGGCCGTTTTGAACTTCTAGAAAATGACCATTCTGTATATATATATATATATATATATCAAGGACTACTACACACAGGACATGCATAGCCTATGTCCAGCCTCTGCTAGCAGAGGCGATCGCCTACACTATGAAAATGCTATAAAATATGTATCCGAAAAATCACATAAGTAGCTTACTATTAGCGGTAAACTGGGCAAGAATAAACTTAAAGATGCGTGATGGTACATACCTTAAATACGAATAATTAGCAGAGGGAAAGCTTGGGCAGCAGTTTCAAGCATTTCACTCAATTTTACTTATTTGGCTCCCCTTAATTAGCAATTAAACCTTCCAAAATAAGTCATCTTAAAAATAAAGCTCCTCTTATGATTTTCAAGCTACAGCATTGAGAGAAATATCATTCGATTTTTAAATACCATATCTAGCGACTCAAGAAGGCCTTTTTAGCGCATTTTCTCATTTATGGAAAAAATGCACTATTGTGCGCGCCATGTCCGTCTGTCCGTCCGTCCGTCTGTCCGTCCGTGACTTCACGTTTTCGTCGACGAGAAAATGTGCTCTCTGTCACTCACTGCAGTGAGTACTGAGTTATATTTTTTCTGATTTGTACTTGGCTTGGATTATATAATGAAAAACCCAGGAGTGAGATGGGAAAATGGGAAAATGAATAAGTCAAATAAATTAGATAAAATATAAATAAAAAATATAACTCAGTACTCACTGCAGTGAGTGACAGAGAACGCATTTTCTCGTCGACGAAAACTTGAGGTCACTGCCGGACAGACGGACGGACGGACAGACGGACGGACAGACGGACATAGAAAGCAGAATAGTGAAGTTTTTCCATAAATGAGAAAATGCGCTAAAAAGGGCTTCTCGAGTTGATAGATACTCACTTTACACATCGAATAATAAGTCTCTCGATGTTTTATCACGTAAATCGATGGAAGAGATAAATTTATAATGGACTCTCTTTTTTGCCGTTTTCTGTGCATTTCACGATTTCTTAATTTTTTTTATTTCGTTGGGGCAAAACTATTTCTTTTAGTGATTTACATATGGATACTAAGTTTCATGAAGATCGTTTATTTAGTTTAAGAGATAATTTTAGGGTAGACGTTCCCCTAAATATTACTCCTTATATTAACTACTTACTTGACTAGATAATTTGAGTATCAGTGCGCAGGTGCCCCAGCAGAGTAACGCCTTCACTTCTAGTGCAGCAGATCCAAAAGAGCGTTGATGTACGTCTGTGCCATCTGAAGAGTCTCAAACTTGGACAGCTTCTGGTCTCCAGTGAGGGCCGGCACCACTTCCCTCAGTCTGTCAAAGGCTTCGTTGAGGCCAGTCATTCTCCTTCTTTCGCGCGCGTTGGCGGCCAAACGACGTTTCTTCAATACCTCGCGGCTGGTGAGGTTGCCTCCTTGCCTCTTAAAGGTTGCAGGTGAAGACAATGAGGAGCAAAATGGGCCGGTGCTGTAAATTTTTAACTTATTGGCAACTTTGTTCGTTTCTGTTTCAGCAATAAATTGTAAGTTATATTGTTTTTGTTTAAGTAGGCGCTTATCAGCGGTGTAGATTGGGTCTATTAGTGCCGGATGGGTTTCTTCTGAAGCACCATAACTCCAAGAAGTCGCGCCTAGAGGAGGAGGAGACGTCGAGCAATCAGACAAACACGGACTAAGCGAAGATCTTGTGCTTGGGCTGTACATTGATGGTAGTCCTGGACTTTCTAGTGACTGGGCTGAATTTTGGCTGCTGTAAAACGAAGATTCTACAGCATAAGGGGGAACCGTTGCAAAAAAATATTGACTCGTTGCGGGCAGACTATCTTTAAAATTTATATTATCGAAGAGTCCAGATTTAGTATCATCATGCATGTTAGGAGATTCCGGCATTGAGTTTAAAACATGTTGGCCGAACTCTTTCGAGTGCGCATTTGAATCTTGGATGTCCTCGTAAGAACTCACTCCAAGAGACATCTTTCGATTGTCTTTAGTTTGATCAGAATCAGTCAAGCTGTGTTTCTCAGTCACGGCGATATAATTGCGGCAAAATATTGGGGTAACTTCATTGTCTAATTCAAAGTACTGATTTTGTGGGTTTCCAACTGCACTGGAAATCACCGTTCCCTTTCCAGGAGAGTCTATGTTCTGCAGGAACCTGGCCCGCTGAGAGTCACTGGAAGCCACACACACAGACACAGCCATAACTGCGGCCGCAAAGTTGCCACTGTTGCGGTCGTTCACAAATGCCCAGCTTATATCCTGACCGCCGGGCAACCGCAGCCAGCACTAGCCAACCGCAGAAGCTCGTCCCAGGATAATTGAGTCACGTGGGCATTCTTCCAGCCAATAGGAAGCAGCGAAAAGAGGAGATAACGCAGCCGCTGACCATGAGTATATTTTTTGTGGGTAGGTATTACTCCTGGGCACGAGACCAAAAAAATGATTTTTTGATGAACCGTAGGGTAGACGAGCGCAAGAAAAAAGGCCCTTAAAGAAAGGAATGTGTGACAGGCAGCCGCGAATGATGGAGTAGCGGCTAGCAGCCATCATTATCATAATTTGACAGTTGTCACGCCTCGATGAAACCTTGAATTTTAATGAAAATTCCCCATAAAAAAGAATCCATTGTTTCACGCATTTATTAAAATTACTTTTTAATTTTATTCGGTTTGACCTTCTTTTTTTTTGTATTGGTAAATTGGTTTCAGGTAAAATTTAATTGAATACGGAAATATATCGACATAATCATTCCTCTGAAGAAGATTTATTCATAGGAAAACTTTCTTTCATCATCTTTTAACTAACGAGGATCTTACTATTATCATCGTTTAAATTTACTGCAATTCTTTGCTCACCGGTACTTCTCAACGCAGAATGAGATGAGATTGACTCTCCTGGAATGTTCATTGACTTTAATGGCCTAACCGCTTACATTTTTCGGCCCACTTTAACCGAGAGCCTTCCTGCCAAGCACATTTTGTGTGCCTGATTTTTGCATCGAATTTCTCACATATTCCTGCCTTTAAATTAAAAATGTAAACTTAATTCATATCGACTTGGTATTATCGCGTGTTGTAAAACATGCCTAATTTTTGTAATCAATCAAACTTTTTTCTAATTAAACATTCGTGTTGCGTTCGAAAAGAAGTGACGCGTCTTCGTTCAATGGCTCCACGTGCCTGAACCCTCCTTGGCTGCTCCCAAGTATAGATTAAAATATTTCGCTCAGAGAACCGAATTTTCATGTTTCTACGAAGATTTTGAGAACATTGTAGTCAATTCTGCAACGATTTCATCCACTGTGTATTCAAAGAAATCGAGTAAATACTAATATATTTTCTGTATATTTTGATGTACGTTTATTGCACATTGCACGGAAAAAGTATTTCCTCCTGTCCATTTATGGTGAAATTTATTTTCTGCTGCTCAAGTTTTTCCTGTGTATTTTTCAATTTTGAGCTTAGCATCTCTGTTTGCGATCATACATGGAAATTATATTCAATATCAAAAGTTACCTATGGATAGATAATGAAAAAGAGGAACAAAAACAAACCGATCACGTTCAGAGTGCCAACTTTAAGTACAAAATGCTACAAGTTAATGCATACCAAATGGAAGACTATTTCCGCAACAATAATTTACCGGCAAAATATATTTTTAAGGATCCAAGTAGAGAACAAAAACTAATGACGCAGTTTTGAGGTGGCAGCCGCCCAGGAGGCGTCGGCGGGATCAAACGTTCCTACTGAGAAGCGGCCGTTACAGGCTGTGGCATTCCAGACGAGTAGCGGCCGTTACAGGCTGCGGCATTCCAGACGAGTAGCGGCCGTTACAGGCTGCGGTATTCCAGACGAGTAGCGGCCGTTACAGGCTGCGGCATTCCAGACGAGCAGTGGCCGTTACAGGCTGCGGCCTTCCTATTTAACCCAACGCTGACCAATGAACTAGCAATTATACCTACTGATATTTTTGCGATGCTTTCTTGATCGAAATTTGAGTGCGTGATCCAGAGTGCGGCGATCGTGCAGGAGTTCCCTGACAACATGAGATTGAGTCATCATCAGAAAACGTTCAAGTAGCTACAAAGAAATATTTCGTACGGAGCCCTTACCTCAAGTAATGGAAATTAATGAGTTAATTGAGTAAAATAGAACGACAGAAAAAAACTCTTTACATTCCTCAATAAGTAATAATTAGGTAATAATGAATAATTATTGAATAATTATAAATAATTCTTCAATAATTAGAACCTTGTCCCAGAACAGCGCTTGAACATGTAATGTTTGCAGAGCTGTGCCACTGAGCGTAATAACAGAGTTAAGACAGTGACGTATTGACAGAGTTCTGTCCTGCAATAAGCAACAGTTTATCAACACAGGACTGGGGCGGCCCATCACGGAGCGGGACAGTAATGGGACAAACGTGGAGAGCGTCCAGGACCGCCCGCTGTCTGTATTGTGTCCAGCGCGTCAACACACAAATTAATTTTTGTGTGATGGATGTTGTAAATTGGCGTGGTTTTAGCCTCCCTTTGTCTACGTTACGCCTACACAACATTTGAACACTCGCGCAAATTTATCGTTCCAAGCACAGACGAAAATTATTAAATAAGTCCTGCAAATGAATAGGGAAGGATGAAGTGAGAACGAACAGTTCCGGAAACTGCCGCAATATAACTGCACGAAATAGCTGGAAGGTTTACTTGAAGGTACCGTGTTAGAGTACCCATTATCTAGAAGTAAAGCATTTAGATGATATTGTATTAAATTGAATGAGCAAGTTTAACTGTGAAATATACAGGAGATATCGATAAATGCTCGCAATGTGTATCGGATATAGCCATGACGTTAAGACATCACGAAGCAGTAGTTAACAATACATTCATTTTAGAAAAGAATGAAGTTAACTAAATTTAGCTTAAGAAGCAAGATTTTTGGGTCATGGTCAGCTGCGCGATGGCATGGGATATGGATTCGAACGTACAGCGATACATAAAGTTGACTCTATCGGATAAAAGTGCCATTAATGTTAACCAAAAAGTTATAAATTCTCACAGCTCGATCGGTCTCGTCAGAAGTCAAAAACGATTTGATTATCAAATAAGAAATTTAGTTGGAGGTGGGCAGTAACTCCACTGACTTATCTAAATCTAGAGACGATTTGTCACGGAGAAAAAGTGCCCAGATTTTAGCTCTACGAGATGCGGCAGTATAAAGTATTTAAAATCGGTAACAGATGTCGAAAATGCCATGATTTTCCATGAGTTTTTTTAATAATTATGTAACAGTCGTCTTTTATAAACATTGCAGAGTCATTGAACTCTACGCAAAACCTGAAATCTTGCGAAATATATTGTTAATCTTTCGCCTCGCATAGTGTAAAAAATGAATGCAACACGAATCAGCAAGCCAAAATAGTATAAAATTTGATGATTCATCACTAATAATTGCAACTATCAAATATTTTTACTGAGGATTCGAATATAAAGAATAAACGTAAAAAATTAAAGGGAACATTCAATCTGAGAAATAACGTGATGAATTTTCGGTGGCACATCATATTTAGGGGACAAAGTTTGAATTCAAGACGAATTTAAATTAATTTTAACCTAAATATTCATTCCGTTACATTAATTTGCTTAGCGCCGCTCGTTTTCAGGTTGCGTCTATAAATAGATTGTCAACTCGTGAAAAGGTGATAAAATATACATCGTTGATGACCTTGTGATGAATATGCTGGAACAGGCACTAGGCTGGAGCAAAGAAACATTTGAATCGGAGTGCACAAACGGTGAGAATGTATTTTATTTCATTTTCTAACTAATTCTTGGTTTAACTGATAATTTTTTATTTAATTATACTAATTGTTAAGCGCGAGTGATAGAAATTGGTACAATAAAGTTTGCCTGACTTGTGCGAAATTATTTTCCATCTCTCTTAACAAGAATAACTATCATTAAAGTAGAATGAATAGCTAGGTAATAAAATAATGTGTTCCCTGTGATATCAATCATTAAAAAAATTATTCCGTTTCAGCTAAGTCGATGAATTGTTGATTTACTTATAGCATGAAAATTTTAAGATTATCTGCCAGGAGGCGAGTTGCAGGAACCGTCTTGAAGCTTCGACCGAAATAACGTTATGTTAGATGTGCGATAAAAAACCTAGAGGACACAGAAGTTTTTTCGTGACGAGAACCTTGGATATGCTGAAGGAAATGGTTACATTGAATCTCACCGTTGCAAGGATGTAACCAATTAAGCGTAATTTGTACACCTGGCGGAGTATCCTTTTTTTCGAGATGTTGCAAGAAGATGGAGCTTGGTGATTTGAATCGGGTTGCGCAAGAATTTCCTTCCTTGAAAGGGAAACCGCACTTTTGATTTTTTTCTTTACTTTTAAGCCGAATTGGTAATGTATCATTATTTAGCTGAAAGTTTTTCCGATATGAATGTTGAAAAGCAGTGACAGCCCAGAATTTGAATTAGATATTCCCGCACACAGAAAAAGGTCCAGTGTATATAAAATTTTGGGATTTTTTGGGTTTCCTTCAATTGAATTGATTCACGTAAACTGCCGCCTGACTTCCCTCAGTAAAGAAGTGCCTGGGGAGAATTCTTAACTGTAGGTAATATATGTTTCTTGAATACCGATGATTATCAGAGACTTAAGGAGTATATCTTTCTTATACATTCACTGTATATGATACAAGCAACGAGTATTTATGCTGCTCGTTTCAGTTGAAGTATAATATAAATGAATCAATTATAAATAGCCGGCAGACGAACTTTATCTGTTACAGAAAAACATATTTCTTCTCTACATAATTAAGTGAACATGAAATAAACAGGCCAATCCATATAATAAAACTATAAAAAAGGAATAAATCAACAAATTGTTATTTCATGAAATTAAAAGTGTATTTACAAAATATAAAATAAAATTACTCGATTCGATTGCTTCTTCTTTCCGACAGATATGAGTTATAATGAATTTGCCAAACGCCGCAGTTTAAGTTTACGCCCCGGAACCGCTTCATCCCTCTTTCAGCACACGCTCATTTTTTGAGGTTTTCACAATTGAACAACTAAGCCGCGTGCCCTGAACTGCTACAGGCGATCTGCCTAATTTAGACATTAATTTGGACCGGCGAGGTGTCGTAATCGACGCCTGTTCGGTGTCTCAGAGATCGCTATCTAAGCCGCGTCGAAGTCTCCTTTGTACGGCGGGTGTGATCA